TTATTTACCCACTGGGCTTTCCTAGTGAGAAGACTGGTGTGTACGTGGAGCGTTCACAAGCGTGTGCCAGGAGGAGCAGGGAGCAGTACTCGGTCTGTGGGTGGACGTGTGTGTTGCACGTGTTTGGAAGCAGGCACTTTGTTCTTCTCTCCTTGCACCCCCCCCACCCTCTGGTTTTAGGTGTTTCTCTTGGACTGTAGGAAGCTAAAGGCAGTAGATTAAAACAATGACTGGACTCAGATTTTTATTTTTTTTTCCTTTCCATTCATTCAACTAGTTTCTGAAAGTGGCAGTGGCCATTTATTGGCATCAGGTAACTGGCTGATCGTCACCTTTTCTTGCTGTGCTGGTTTTGTTGTTTTTTTTTTTCCCCCCTGCTGTTCCTTGCTCCTTTTGGTGATGTGCTTCAACTCTGAAATTCGGAGAAATGATGAGCTTTCCTATTGCGCAGCAACAAGGGCTTCTTTATGAAGAGAAATGGGTGTTACCTCTTACTGTGGGTCAGTGTTTGAAACAAGGAAAAAGTCATCACTGGTATACTACTATCAAACTATTTTGAGTCCTCTTAAGGTTGGTAGCCTTGCAGTACAAATTATTTTGGCCCTGCAGGTTGAGGGACTAGCCACTACTAGCTAGATTTGGTTACTTGCAAAAGAAGATGATAAACAGAGCTTCTGCCCTATATTCTTGATTTCCTGGCGGCCTATAAGGAGCACTTGCATGAGTTGATTGCTTAACTTTCCCCAACATCTCTTGGTTCCTATTTTGGAACGTTTGTTACAGAAAAAGGTAAATCTTGGACTGGTTTAATTTAGTAGCTCTACTTGTATTTCAGTAGCACCTACTACTTCTTGATACCTATCTTGTCGTGACAGAGTACAGATCTTAATGTTTCAATGAGGTTTCAGTGTGAAACTGAAGATGATAATGAGCACAGTTAGATTTTTAGTGAGGAAGATGCATAAGACAGTCTTGTTCTCCTTGCTTCCTCCATGTAAACCCAGTAGGAGGATGGTGTCTGGTAGCTCTGGCCACCTGCAGCTGGTGATTCTGGCTAAAACACACGTTTTAATGGCCATTGCATGTAACACCTCTTGTTCCTTCACTCCTGTGAAAGACACTACTCCTTGGTAGACCTGCTCTTTACAGAGAGATGAGAGAATTGGGGAATATCCACAGGGATTCAAAAATATGCTTTGGCTGTTTTCTCAAGAAACTGTTATTTTGAGAAGAACTTAAATGCATGCATAGTTTTTATAGCTTTACGGAAGCTTATGATATGGTTTGATACTTAATCTGCAATGAAAAAACTTGAAATTTTGCAAAGTGTGAAAATGGAGTAATTCTGTGTTTGACTCGGAGAAGTAGCATTACACTTGTCCCATTTGATGGTGTGTCTCCCTGTTGATGTTGCCATGATACCTGTAGTAGTCTTTTAATGTGACTGTAGAAAAGTATGGAAGATTGCTGTAAAGCCTACAGGAGGAGTTGCATTTAAATGACTTGTATCAACGTTTTGGCTCTTCTGAGCAATAGAGTGTGATACAAAAAATGATTAATGATTTGAAGGGACGGGCAAGAGAGATTTTTAGAAAAAACGGGTTTGTAAGCTTATGAAATGATCTTGGAAAATTTGACCTTGCGGCAATAACATAAACTGGTTAGCAGTTTAATAACAAAATGATGATCTGAATTTTGGGACCAGTAGGGAATACTGAAGAGTTAAACAGAATTGTGAAGAACAAAGTGAAATAAATGGAATTAATTTTGAAAAAGTTGAATAGCAGTCTCGTTCATGATTATGGAAAACAGCTCAGTTAAATGTTCTTTGGAAGACTGTCTTTACTCATTCTGCCTTTTGATTGTCCTAAGAGAAGATGGGTGTTAATGAGGATTTTAATGTGAATTATGATCAACAGCAAGAGCATGTAGTGAACGAACTAGATGAGGCCATTTGTGAGTGTCCAGAGACGGGAGAATTGATGTGTAGCAGATAAACATGGGATTAATATTGAAAAGAGGGGAGAGACCAACATCCTGAATTGCTACTAATAAGCACTAATGAGTGAACATCGGCCATCCTTTGTGTCGAAAAAGGCAGGCAATTTACTAATTAAAAATAATTCATAAGGTGGCTTCTCTTTTTGTATTCTGCCTGTAAAATATGCATGCAAGTAAAGCTTGGAGGCAAAGTAGCAAAGTGATCCTATTATATAAGGATGATTTTAGAGTTCATTGCCTTAATGCTTACGCTCCTTTTAAAAGTGTTGTTTTACTCCCTTCCATCTCTGTGTGTACACGTTCAAGACAAGAAAAAAAATCTTTTTGGCAAGACTCAGTGTTAAGTAATGAAAATAAAAGATACTGCTATTTCTCCCATTACCCTAACACTCCTATTAATGGATACAGTGTACAATGTACAGTGCTTTAAAGCCTGAATGAATACTATGTTCAGCTGAAACTATGGAGATGAGATGAAAATAGGTAGAATGTACTTATTCTTCTTTATTTTGTACATGAAGTACTTCCTGTTCTCATCGTGCTTTTTATACACTAAAGTCATAAGATATTAGTAAAGCACAGTTCCTTTTCCCTAATTATGCAGTATAATTGGAAATTGCGGGCAAATCTCCTAATCTCCATAGTGACAGCAGAACGTTTATCTAATTAGTAGTTTGCCTTTTGGCATTACTTTGAATTAATTAGCATTTCATTAGATACCCTGGGCTACTGGGAAAAAATCTCCCAGAGTAGTTCTTAGTCTTTCTTCTCTAAAGAGTGTATTTTGAATTAGCATAGATTAATAATAGCCTTTAACTGGAAAGATACAGAATAGTAATACTTTTGTTATTTTTAATATCAGAGGGCTGTGCTTGGAGGTTCTTTGCTTTCTTAAATCCCCAGGAGTCAGAGTAAAAACTTATGTCGCCTTATTTGATCACTTACTCTTTCCCTAGGGGGAAAAAAAGGAAAGAAAAAATGGAACAGGTTTGAAATACAACTTGACCTCCTTCATCTACCCTTTCCCTTTCTCCAGAGGATGAACTTTTCTTTCAGATTACAAACAGTTCAAAGCATAGTGATGTGGACTAATCCAAAAGTCATTCTCTATCACTTGCTAATTATAAATGAGCCCTTCTGCAGTATTCCCAATGCAGCTAATCCAGAATAATCAAAGACTATTTGTATTCTTTTCTTGCATATATAAATCAGTGATAGGAAACTGGGTGACTAAGTTTTGGTATTGACTGCAAGATAAGTGTGGCTGCTTATTCTTCTTTCCTGAACATCTACTGGGAATCCATAACTTTGATGGGAAGTTAAAACAGATAATTCATCAAAGATGGATTCTTATTGATTTTCTTTCCTAGTGTTGAAAAGAGCAGAAGGAAAAATCCATGGATGTGATAAAGGGTTGTAATTTCCTTTCCTTGAGTCACTGGCTATTTCAGACACTTGTTTACCCCTTCAAAGAGTTGTTGGCTGCCACCTGTGGTGGAAGATTGGTATGAAGTATCGTGTTAAACATTCTCCTCTTCCCAAAGTGGCCTTTGCAGCAGGGATGTACATTTACACCACCGTCGTCACAGTTGCCTTTTGGTGGATAGAGGCATGCAAAGGATCTGACAGTTTGTTTTGCCAAATCCAGAGGAATGAAACATCTTCTGTTTGGCAGGCCAGTCTAGAAACTCGCTATCAGACTGGATTTTGTACCTAGTAGCACCACACATCTGGGGCTTACAGCATTTGTGAACTTGGAACCGCCTGCAAAAGGCCCCCCCGTGCGGTGTTGACACATGAAGGTCCACAGCAGCCTGTCCAGCTGGGCTCAGTGATGGCAGTTTCTCTGCTACTGGACTGGGTTCTCCAGGCTGTCTAAGGCGAATGGTCACTCCCTAGTGGTGAGGTAGGACAACCCTGTACTTTCGCCTGCCCTTTGGTAAATGTTTTCTTGTTTCCCTGGGAAAGCTTTTTTCCCCTCATTCCTTGTGATTTGACACTGGGTTATCTCATGGTGAGAGAGAAGCTCATGTTACTTCCTAGCCCTTCCCTCGGGCTTCTTCAGTTACCCCTCTCAATCCAGCAATTATTTTGTATTCCTGTGCAATGAGTTAGCCAGAGTTTTGGAGTGGATCTTCCTAGACCTTCTTCTGTGATGATCTCCCCGTAAAAAAACTCCAGAAAACTCCTTTTCTAACTTTGATCAAATCTAGCTTTTTTTAACAACAGCTGGAACAATTAATGGAAAATTTGAAGATGAGGGAAGACAGGATAGAAAAAAAAGAGGGTTTATTAATTGCTGTCTCCTTCTTCAGTGTCATTGCAGGCAGGTTCCTGCTTTCAGGTCTGGTCCTAGGTTACCTCAGTACCTTTGTAGGAAGTTGGTATGTGTGCCCAGTCCTCCCCCCTGGTGCCTAGGAAGGTCTTCCCTGCAACCTCTGAGGCAGGTTCGTGCCTGGCCCTAAAATGAGAATGCCGGAAAATCTGGGTCTTGGTTGACTGCATTCCCCCTCACTGCGGGACCCCAACTGTTGGCTGTCACACCTTGCACGGTCCCTTGGCTGTATCCTTCCTCACAGGGGGTTGTTCAGTAGCTCATGAAAGAGCTGCTTCTTCCTTCCACCTCCATCCAGAGGCCCAGAAACTCTACTTAAATGTACTGTAAGAACAGAGAACAGTCATTCATATCTGAAATATATATTTAACTTCTCTTTCCTTATAGGATTCCAAAGACACTGTGCTAAAACCTTCTAATCTCCTTCTGTATGTTCAAATAAATAAATTTCTCTGCGTTGGTTGTGTTGATATTGTTGTGACCAAGCACGGTCTAGTGAATATGGACTTGGGATTGCATAAATTGCTGAACAGCACCCATTTTCTTATCCAGTCCCTACATATGGTTTGTTTCAGGGAGATCTTGTCTGGAGACCCGGAAAATGGGAAGGCTATGTTAGAGAGAATGACTGCTGTAATCTAATGATCTGAATGTTGTTCTACAGCTTGATGACTGCACCCTGCAATTGTCTCACAACGGTACCTATCTGGATCTAGAATCGACCCTAGCAGAACAAAGAGACGAATTGGAAGGCTTCCAGGAGGATGCTGGGTAAGTAAATGTTTACTAAATCTAGATAAATAAGCATAGTTGTCCAGAAGCATTGAGGTTTTGGGAGCGTGTGTGGTTAACTTGGTATGTTCAGGTCAGCATAGGAACAGAAAAGAGAAAGTTTTCCCCTGTAAGCACATACATCTCCCCCTTTCTGTGATTGAAAACTTTGACTTTTCTATCTACATTCACTCTTACGGTTTCTCTAAAAGAAGATGGCATACTGTAAGAAATCTATCAAGATAGATGTCTTGACTAGCCTAGTAAATGTGTATAGTTCTTTGGAACTTGATAAATGAGGGTGGCTGGTTTTGAGAACTCCGAGATCTTTCTTGTATATAATAGTTGGTGTAGAAGATTATGTTGGGGTGGTGCTCCTGAAATTATGAACTCGATTTCTTTGTGCCTTGAGATTTAAGTCCTCTTTTATATTCTTGGAGAAAAGATGTGTATTGATTTCTTTTTTACTCCTGGAATTGATTTAGCCAGCCCAGGGTGTGTGTGGTGATGCTGGTTTTCTTTGAATATTCTCCTCTCTTGTCTTTTTTTGCCTTTTTTTCCCCTCTTTTCTTTTTTTCTAAATTATTGCTGGCACACGTGGATTCCTCTGACACAGCTTTCCATAAACCATCTCTGAGACCTGAAAGTGAAAACAAAAGTTAGCATCTATGTGTGTCTGTGTGAATGCATGTATAAAATTTGCTTTTTAGAAGAATTTTTTTTCTGGGCCTTTTAGGTGATTGTCTTGTTTAAGATACAAAATGAACAGACAGTCTAGCACTATTCTTGCCTTGCTGGTTGCTATATTAGACTGGATAGTTGTAATTTTATGGGTGCGTTTTGGCATGGACTTCATGTGTGTGAGTAATGTAGCTGTGCCAGAAGGAAATTAGCTGCATTCTGTGAATTGGTCAGGGCTTGTAAACACTAAGAGATGCAGCCCTTTTACTTACACCGGTTTCTCTGCTTTTTGTGATAGCTGTCTTGTATTTGTTTGATGAATACTTCTTACAAATTTAAACTGTGCCTCTGAAGATTATTTTATGTGGAGAAGAATTTTAAATAATATGTTACAGATATTCATGTGTGTGCATTTGTGTATGTCTTCTTCATACATACCAGTTTTGGGCATGTTTTTATAACTACTGGAAGATAAAGAAACTGTTCTGTTAGAAATTAAATTAGTTAGAAGAAAGTTCTTCAATACACAGAGTAGCCAATACAGCTGAACTGAGCCTCCCTTCCTTTGCAATAGGTGTGTTGAGTATAGAAGTTGATCTAGTCTTCAGTTTTATGCAAGGGTGATAAAAATTGCTGCAAAGAACAGCAAGTTCTTATTCCCAGCTAATTTTATAATTGGTTGAAAGCAAGTAAGAGGAAGGAAGAACTTTCTCTTTTTATAGTTTTTTGTAGTAGTATGCATGAGTTGTTAATTCACACTTTCTTTTCTCTCCATGGATGTCTCCATGATAATTCTAGTAATTTTAACTTCGTTGCCTTTGATACCCCACAACGGCATTCCCAAGCAATTTGGTAAGCTGGAGACTGGTTGGTGCTTTTCCTGCCAGACTTTACACTTGAAATGGCAAGCTACCTTCCACCTTGTTTTAATGTCTGCTTCCTTTGGGCACATAAAATCAATGATATGAATTGTTCCTGAAACATGATTCTAATTTTCTCTGTGGTGGCTATTCTAGGAAAAACACCAAAACATGTGGAACTAACTATGCTGCTTGGAATTGCATGTCTACTGTGTTGTTTTGAGCTGAAAAATCAGGTTATGTTTTTGTGTACTTTGCATGTGTGCGCAGGCTTCCTCTTAATTGCGCAGCCACTTATTGTCAGTTGAGTAACTGCTTCTTCCAATGGCTTGTCCTGCCAGGTAGTGTGAAGTCTGCTGGGAGGTCCTTCATTCCTCTGCAAAGATGGATAGGGAGGTATGAAACTGGGTATATTAAGGTGTATCACAAAAGCTTGGGCTACAAATTATTATTGTAATTATCTTTTGAAATGGGTTTTGTGAAATGAAAGAGCAAAACTTTCATGTCTGTTGTTGTCATGTATGTAGCCCTCACCTTCACTGGTCTTTGCCCTGCTCTCTGAAGTTGTCCCTCTGGTAATTGTGGGTCAATAGGAAGTGCCGTGTTTTCATGTTTCGGCTGCCTGCCTTAGGTGGAACACCAGGACCGGCTCTTAGGTGCTGCCATTGTAGCTGTTGCGACCCATCTTTCTTTGATGTCTTCCCACTACAATCCCGTTCAGACCCTGCTTTCTTACCTTTATGATAAATTACGCAGGCAGTGGTAGTTGCAAAAGGCTGAAGTGGTGAGAATGGAGGGAAGGAAGAACGAGGGGGGTGTTGGGGAGTAAATCAGTGAGTGAACCACAGATGAGCACAAAAAGACACATGTGCCCTGCTGCAGAGGGAAGAGGGGACGTTTGCCTAAGGGGATGTTCCCCTCAGCACCTTTTCTGAGGTGCCTGTAGGTACAAGCGGTATGCTTCCCTTGCATAATCCTAGCTTGTGCTTAACCTGCAGTGCTGCCTAAGGACACGGGGGTTGTGCTTTAACTTGATTGTTGTGAGGTTGCGGGTTTTTTGTTCCATCTCCCCTACACACATATACCCAATAACTTGCAGGTTGGAGCCCTGAAATGCTAGCATTTTGCTCTGCTGCGGTGGGATGCAGCTCAGTGAAGTACAAGACCTTGCATTTAGGAGTAACTGGCTAGAAGACAAGCAGGTACTGGTCAGGCAGAAAATGAAGAAGTGGGAACACCTGACTTGTCAGCAACTTGGCAGGAAAGGATCTGATGTTTTTGGGAATGGTGAGCTGAAAGCAAGTCAGTGATTATGGTGCTGTGAAAAAGGTAAGGGGCATCCTGGGGAATAAAGTAGGAATTTAGCCAGTGAAATGCAATGAACTTGGTATCTTCAGTACTAATGAGGCTTCTGCTGGGTTTCTGCATCCCGTTTTTGTCTGTGTTTCAAGAGAGAGTAAGAGGAAGATAAACGAGCAACCAGAACTTTAGGAATCTGTGGGATGGCTTCCCTGTATGACTTAGTACATCGTCACTTCAGAGTAAATACAACTTGGGTGATGTTATCCAGAAAAAAGGAATATTATAGATATAGGGTAGCAAATGCAATCAGGAATGTTTCCCTCCATCCCAGGTTTCTAGCAAACTAAACTCTGTTTTTGGGCTTTGCAGCTCTGCCCCTGCAGAGACCAAGGTGCTGAGCTGGAGTGCTCCTGAGCTGGAGCTGCAGGCATTGGGGGCTTAGCAGCCCACTGTCTGGGAAGGACTGGCTGCAGAAACCGCTTAGTCTCTCTCTTTCTCTCTGGGTCATTTCAAGGTCCTGCTCTTAATCTTCAAAGCTTTTAATTTTCTGAGATTAGGTTCCTCAGGACCTGCCTCTCTGCCATGCCCAGGCTGCTGTGCTCATCAGGGTCACTGAAGCTTGCTGAACTCTGAAGGATTTAGTAGCTGGGTATTCATGGCATTTGTAAAATTTTAGACCCTAAACTGTGGAAACTCCTATTAAGAGTGACCAGAATGTCCTGCAGTCCGTCTGTTTTCAGCGTCTTTTTGCTTAATGTTCCTGTTTGCCTGGGCAAAACTGTGATTTTTTTTTTTTTTTTAAACACACTGCTGAAAGCAGGCATAAATAAATAAAACATGCAAGAAACACAATCTTACATATTTTTATTGGTGTGAGAGGCTGCAGGTATCTGTTTTCTCTTGGAAGGATTGGATAAGCATAGTGAAAAATAAAAAGGATTTTTCTTCGAGAGAAGAGGAGGATGGTGGCAGTTAGGTTGGAGGTTTATGATGTGTGTCTGTAAATAACAGGCATAAGAAACACACGCACTCATACACAATTTCAAATGAATCCTCTTCTGTTACTGAATATAATGAAAAGAGGCTTTTGGTAGTTGCTATCCACTCCAGCAGAATCTAAACTTCTGTTTAGGGAAGAAAACCCAACACACATGCCCTCTTAGCCTGTAGGGCTAACTCTGAGCAAAACATGGACAGGGATGGCACTGTTTTCCTGTGTCCACGACTCTCGCTGCTGCCATTTGCACCTTTGGGAATAGCTGTGGGATTCAGGAGAATCGGATTGTTTTTATATGGGGTTTCTTTTTTTGGGACAGTCAGGATGAACAACTGGCCAAGCAATGAGGCTGGCCCTGCAGAAGGTGTCACGACCAGGAAACGGGTCAATAAGCACGTAGGAAAACTGCCTTTCTTTTCAAGTCTGGCATGTATTCATGGCTTGTTTGCTGCTTGTGGGTTTTTCTTTTTTTGTTTCTTGCTCCCAGCACAAGTTACTTTGTGGATGCTTAATTGTGTGAAGAGGTAACATGGAGGTAGTTTAGGTGGGCTGGCTGTTTTGTTAAGGTGCCCGTGACAGGTAATGCTCTTTTTCTTTCTTTACTTGTGACTTTATAGAGCGAGCAAGAATTGTCAAGAAGTCTATGTATTTAAATTACCATATAATTGCCCAAGTTCTTCTTATGGGCATGTCTTAACAGGCCCTAATGGTAGCCCACAAGGTAACACAGTCCTAAACTGCAGAACACAAAAGCTTCCTCAGACAGCACGCTGCGAGCAATGGAGATTTTTTCGGCTAATATGTTTTCAAGACTTCTGTTCAGCAGATAGATTGTTTTAAACTACTTCTGACAAATCACTTTGGTGCTGATGGTTTTTGCATTCCTTCTAGACACCCAGTCCCAAGCCATTTTTGCTGGGTGAGTCCCCTTTAAGTTGGATGCCAGACGTTTTCCCTCTTGATGCTGCTGTTCATTCTGGGCTCAATTCAGAATCTGTCGAAAGCAATGGAGTCATGCAGGGATCTTTAATATTCTTTTCCTGCTTATGTACTGTATTTTTTGCCGGCTTAGACTTTGTGATTAGCACAATTGTGAGAATGAAAACTTTTCATCACTTTTTTTACGTGAGGAAGGTGGGGATGCATTTGAAGGTTAACTT